ACGGCGCTCGCCTTCCGCGCGCTCAGGGCCGTCCGACCTCGGAGAGCCACCGCGCCGGGTAGGTAGCAAGATGCGCGTTGAAGATACATCGAGGAACGAATACAAATAATTAAAAATACTACCACTGCAACTGTTACCTAATTCGTTAATTACTACGTAATTAGTACGTAAATTACTAAATGGAATTTATTAATTATTTGTATTTGCTGTTTCCGAGAAAGAAGGAATAAAATCTCGGAATTTTTAGGAAATTAACCCTTCGCAACCGAGTGACGCTTCTCGCCAGAGTGTTTTAAAATAAAATAAAAATCATTATCAGAAAATTAAAATAAATACGGTAAGAACCATTTGTAACCGTTTGTTATTAAAAACTGTACTGAAAAAGCAGACTGCATTTCTGCGTACCGAAACATTCCTCGAATGCAAAGGGTTAATAGAGAAATAATTGAAATTCGACTTACCCATTTATCTGCAAGTTGACCTACTGCGCTGACAATAGGGCTCGGCCAATGCACCGCTGTCGATCATGGCAAGGTCGAAGACCCCAACGAAAATCAGCTGATGGGCCAGCCCGGTCACTGTACCTGCTTCTCACCCCGAAAACACTTCACAACACGGTCACTAACACTTTTCACTTTCACATACCGATGCGTTCCGTTGCACCCTTCTTCGATTGTTGCTCCTTCCTGGGTTGATAACGGTGCCTGGATGTTGCTCCCTCCTGAATTGTTACTCCTTCCTGAATGGTTGTTGCTCCTTCCTGGATTGTTGCTTCTTCGAACCTTGCTCCCTTCAGGATTGTTGTTCCTTTTTGTTGGGATAATGGGCGCGATACGTGCGGGCGGCTTTCTTCGCGTTCCCCTTGGAGTCCGCGAAAACGAAGAACGAACGATAATACTCTGCGTTTACGCGTTCCATCGCGTGCGTCCGCTTCTGTTCAGAAATGCGTAGGTTCTGTGAAAAATTTTGACTGACAAATTGCATTTCCCTCCCCGAAAAAGTTCCAGGTAGGGCAACCTATTGTCGCGCGATTCGGAGTTACCTGCGATCGGCGAACGTGTAGACCATGTGTGCCGCAAATGTTTGCTGCTAAACCGTACGGTCGACTCTTCTAATAGAATTTTTAAGAATCACCGTGAATATTTTTCCATGGAAAATTTGTTATAAAAAAGAAAGAAGAATATACCATGAAAAATTAAATAAAATAAAAAGGTTTTGTTTATAAAAAATAATCCACGAAGAAGGAGTCAATTACATAATAGATAATATGCGATAATAAATAATATTGGAGCAACAAAAAACAAAAATATTTAAAAAGATTATTAAATAATATTTTTTTTAGTTCTTATTTCTCAAATGAAAATTCCAAGAAAATATATTTTTTAATATTTGTGTTAAATATTTTTGTTGTACAATTCAATATGTTATCCATGAAGAAATATTCACAGTGAATCTTACAAATTCTATTAGAAGAGTCGACCGTACGGTTTAGCAGCAAACATTTGCGGCAAACATGGTCTGCACGTTCGTCGATCGCAGGTAACTCGCAATCGCGCGACAATGGGTTGCCTTACCTAGAACTTTTTCGGGGAGGGAAATGCAATTTGTCAGTCAAAATTTTTCACAGAACTTACGCGTTTCTGAACAGAAGCGGACGCACGCGATGGAACGCGTAAACGCAGATTATTATCGTTCGTTATTCGTTTTCGCGGACTCCAAGGGGAACGCGAAGAAAGCCGCCCGCACGTATCGCGCCCATTATCCCAACAAAAAGGAACAACAATCCTGAAGGGAGCAAGGTTCGAAGAAGCAACAATCCAGGAAGGAGCAACAACCATTCAGGAAGGAGTAACAATTCAGGAGGGAGCAACATCCAGGCACCGTTATCAACCCAGGAAGGAGCAACAATCGAAGAAGGGTGCAACGGAACGCATCGGTATGTGAAAGTGAAAAGTGTTAGTGACCGTGTTGTGAAGTGTTTTCGGGGTGAGAAGCAGGTACAGTGACCGGGCTGGCCCATCAGCTGATTTTCGTTGGGGTCTTCGACCTTGCCATGATCGACAGCGGTGCATTGGCCGAGCCCTATTGTCAGCGCAGTAGGTCAACTTGCAGATAAATGGGTAAGTCGAATTTCAATTATTTCTCTATTAACCCTTTGCATTCGAGGAATGTTTCGGTACGCAGAAATGCAGTCTGCTTTTTCAGTAAAGTTTTTAATAACAAACGGTTACAAATGGTTCTTACCGTATTTATTTTAATTTTCTGATAATGATTTTTATTTTTATTTTAAAACACTCTGGCGAGAAGCGTCACTCGGTTGCGAAGGGTTAATTTCCTAAAAATTCCGAGATTTTATTCCTTCTTTCTCGGAAACAGCAAATACAAATAATTAATAAATTCCATTTAGTAATTTACGTACTAATTACGTAGTAATTAACGAATTAGGTAACAGTTGCAGTGGTAGTATTTTTAATTATTTGTATTCGTTCCTCGATGTATCTTCAACGCGCATCTTGCTACCTACCCGGCGTGGTGGCTCTCCGAGGTCGGACGGCCCTGAGCGCGCGGAAGGCGAGCGCCGTGATTGGTCAGTGTTTTTCGTTAATAATTCAAAACCGAAGCCCCATCCGACATTTTTGCAAAGGAAATTGTTGCTTAGAATCGTCTCACCTACCCCCCATTTCCGGTTCTTACACTATTTACGGGACACCCTGTATACATATATATACTTCTCTCTACGACAATGACAATCATGTATAATTAAAGTTTTCTCGCATATAGTCAATTATCACATGTAGTCAAAAATTCGTATAGTTTCGTTGTAACTAAATTTAGTATTACTCTAGCATCTCGTACATTTTAAACATACGACAGATTACTTGCATCTTATCTGTCTCTTAGTCACATGTATACTAACAATCAGAATCAAGAAATAGTGTTTCTTACACACAACCCAAAGTGGATACAGAAATTGGGTGTACCCTGTATAACTAAAAAATCCTAGAATACATTTTGAAAAGCCGATACTTCTCGATAAAACGAAAAGTGAGGAACTCGATACGATTGATGGATTTGAAGATAAAAGTACATTTATGCAGATTGTTTTTGTGTATATACAGACTGTTCGGCCAACCCAGGGAAAAATTGTAATGGGAATTTGAATTTTTTTCTAGAAAGTGAGTAGGATTTCAGAGGTATGTGTAATGACCAAAAATGATTGTAATCGATCTCTGCAACTGAAAATAATTTGTTTAGAACGATTAGAAAAATTTTTTTTTCGCCGAAAAATTTCAGCACCTACCCAAATTTTTTTCTCGAAAGAGGGTAGGATTTCGGAGGTATGTGTATTCACCAAAAATGATTGTAATTGACCCCTGCAACCAAAAATAATTTTTTAATAACTTTTTAACGAAGCCTCAGTCAAGAAATTGATATTCTTGATTTTTGTCTTACTTTGGCCTCTAGAATCTCCCATTAAAATTTTTCCCAGGGCTGACTGAACACCCTGTGTATAAAAAACGTAAATTTTGATGCCCTGTATTTTGCAAATAGAATCGAAACCAGCAAAATGGTAACTTAACTCTTCTTCTTTCGAATTTCATATGGACTACAATGTATTTTAATTTCATCGAAATCCATGTCCTAGAGTATAGAAGGTAATCAATTTAGCAAGGAATGCACGATAATTTTAGTATCATATACCCTATTACCGTAAAAAATTCCATTAAAAAGTCAGCTTTACTCTGATGAACCATTTTTTGAAGTTATATTAAATTTAAGAATGTTGATACATAAACATTGCATGCAATAGTGTTTCAATATATCTGACGCCAAATTTATTAGTCGATCGAATTGATTGAGTCGTTGATGCTACTCTTCTGCCACTAAATGTATTTCTTCGTTTCTTTGTTACATACGATTATTTTCTGTAATGACAGACACTCGATCTCTGTTTTAAATATTGAGGCACACTAGCTTGCGTTCACCGGGCAACCAACTTCTTCAGGATATGCAGTATACAGGGATTTCGGCTACCTTTCGGAAAAAATTGCGAGATTTTAGAGGCCAAAATAAGACCAAAATCAAAGATACCAATTTGTTAATTCAGGTTTTATTAAAAAGTTATTAAGGTTTAAAGATCTGCCTGTAGAGCGGCAATCTGCGAACAGCTACGAGCGCGTGGTAGGTTATGGCAGGTCGCTCTTAGTGATTCTCATTCACAAAACTGTAAGACTGTCGATACGTCAGTAAGTAGAGTTTTTCATACTGAGTGAAAACCACTAGGACCGACTTGTCGCAACCTATCGCGGCAACAAAGCGCCAATTAACAAATTAATATTCCTGATTTTCATCTTATTTTGGCCTTTAGAATCTCCCATTAAATTTTTCCCGAAAGGTAAAAAATTTGGGCCCCACGCCTCAAACTTATCCAATGAAGGTGTTGATTCCTATTTTTGATACGACTTCGAGCCGAGCTTGAAGTTTGCTTTTATCTTTCGCATAACGTAGAAGAATATGGCGAGTGAAAACATATCGGCGAAACAACGCTAATGCAAAGATAGATCTTTCTTATTTCTATTTGTTTTTTAAATGAATCTTCTACCAGCGAATTTGTAAAGTTTTACTAATTAAAAGAAGGCCAAACACGATATGATTTGGATCATATTTACGTATTAATAAGTGACAATTGTAGGGAGGTCGAGCGGAAAAAACTAAGCTTAGTCGCAAGTTAATTGTGCTCTTCCACCTCCTCCGATTCCTAGACAGAAATAGGTTTGAGCCGCCTGTTTTCATTACAGAAGAGAAGTAAAAAGACGTCACTTACAGTTGGACGGTGTCTTCGACTGATTAATATATTTGGCGTCATAATTACATTTAAAATTGATCTGCATCGTAATATAATTTTATATCTTAGATACCTTAATACACTTATTTATGAAGTAAATGTTTAAGAACTTATATGTAACTAGAATTTTGTTTTGCAGAGACGTTTTACTTACGTCTATTTCAGAAATATCATTCTCCTCGGATAGATTTGGAATGTTTATTTTACCTTCTATCTTCTTATCAGATTTTTCGTTGAATATCCATTTTAAAACAATATTCCATTCATAGAAGAAAATTAATTTACCTTTTCTATTGTTTGCCATTGCCTCACCCTCGCATTTTTCTACCTCTGTTACTGTACACGAAACTAAAAGGAACACAACCTCATTGATTATATTTTGGTATACAAAGTTTTATATTATAAAATTAGTGATATTAAAGTGTCTCCACTATACTATTAACATTAACAAAAAGTTAAATATATAAAACTACTAAATCTTAACGATTGAAAGCTAACAATTTCTTCGCTTCTGAGATTTTTTTTAAATACTTTGTAAAAGGATGAACAAAATTATATGTGTAACAGCATAAACTCTTAATTAACACATTCACAGTAGTACGGAATATACCTACATATACGATTCGTATTGTATTTCGTTCCGTGTAAGCCATATTTAATTAAAACTTCGTTAGATGTTGAGAGAGTATCTTATTAATTTGATTACTATTTTTACATCAATTTACAGAGTAAAAATATCATAATATCAAATATACTAATTTAATACAAAATTTCACGAAAAAAGTTAGCGTGATGGACGTGTTAAAATAATAGTTTTATTTGGATGGATATAAGTAGTCATTGTTATCTCTAGAATGGCATACGGGAGTCTTTAATGACCACAATAAAATTGTCTACGTAAATAAATAAAAGATGATTTATTTTATGAGATAATCATCATTTTGTAAAAAAAACATGGTTACCGATATACAGGTATATATAATTTTAATAAATGTAATAACAAATTATAAATTAGATTCTGAACAATAGAAAGTTTCAATCAATGTAAGACACAAAACATTCCAGTTTACAGGAATGAGAACTTTTTATACGAATACAATAAAAGGAGCAAAAAAATAATTGTCACGAGGACATACAATTATTTTGATGAATTACAAAAGAAAACATGCACAGTTTGTCCCCCTAATAAGGATATAAAAATATTAAACCGTTGTATACTTTGCAATAAACCAATTGGTAAAAATCACAGCAACTACACGTTTATGAAAATTCTTGTTGTGCATAAAATTTGCTTATCAACTTAACGATGTTCATGGTTCACTGTTTAAACAAAAAATCATACTTTTATAGCGAATCAATAAAAAAAACATGTTTATTCACTAGAAGTCATTTTTGTTATGTTTATAAAAATGTACGATATTCACTTCTTTAAATACACATAGATTTTTTAAAATTTGTTCAAGAAATATTTTTTCTGAAAACTTTAAGTCATAAATATAAATTCCAAAATCGTTTTTTTATTATTTTCTACATATCATTAAATTAATACCTATTTTAGCTAACATAGTGCAAAACAATTGGAAATATATAGATCCCTCTACTTTTACTGATCATTTAAATTTTATATTTGTAAACTAGATATTTAAAAGTATTTCAGTGAATTTTTATAAAATGTTTTACATATTCAAAATGTACGATAATCGCGCAAAACATGAATGACCTCAGTGTGATGTGCGACAGTCTGAAAAAACAGTATGCCATTCCAGGGTTAATTATTTATTCTAGTATGTTCTTATTTTATAAAACATAGATAATCTATTGTAACTTCATTACTGAAATCATTTAAATATAAAAAAGATTAAAAATAAAAGATAAAATGCAAACCTTCATCTCCTTCTATCTTCATATTGGTAAATAATTCTTTCAACTTCTCCTGAGACCAGGCACAGGCATTCTTTTCCGTCCTTTAAAAATATTGTCAGTTTAGTCATTTGAAGGGTATTACATTACAACGTCAATAATTTTTAAAAACATTAAATGATTTTATTTTTACGAAGACAAGAAAATATATGAGTATTTGTAAAATTGTGTACACGATGTTAACTACTAAATCTGAAAAATTATACTTGTTTTACCGACTAGAAAATTAACTGAAATTAGGTATAATGATAGGAAAACATTAGAAAAAAGTACCGCACAGATACGACTTAAAGAGGTATTCTAGTGTGAGTCTTTGAAAAAATCGATTTCCTTTTTTTTGTTTTTTTCTTAAAGAACACATATTGAAAATTATATCTGCACAACCTTATACCACAATTCCTAAAAAGGTAATTCCATGCGAAATCGGGCACTTTTCGGAGTACGATGTCGGATTTTGTTCTACTTTGAATATGTTGTAGTCTTTAGTGATATATAAACGTATCTCGAAGGATTTTTAAAAATTTTTAAAATTGTTGGTTTTACATCTGTTTGAAATATACAGCTCCCTTTTTTTCAATAAATAATAGCTGCTAAAGTAAAGAAGTTATAAAAATGAAATTTTAGGTACTTGTAGCAGACCCATGGGAGTATCAAATAAAAATTATTTCAATTAATAAAAAAATTTTTTTGATTATTTATTTTGCAATTGTTTACAACAAATGTCATTTTTTTATAGCGGGGACATATTTAAAAATCTGAAAAAAATGGGCATATAGTCCTGTTTGTCCCCTTCACGGACCAAGTTTTAAAAATACGGACACTTTAAAATTGGCCTTATAAAAATTAATTGAATGGAACGCTGCGTCGCGTCGTGGCATGCTGGCTCGACCGGCCAAGTCGCGCAGTGTCTGCAACCGCCAAGCGGCTATACCTGCTATTGTTATAGATAGGGTGTTGGACTGCAGGAAAATGTAACAGTTATTGGACACTCACTCTTTGTCAATGACACTTAGCATTATACACATTTAAGTTGTCAATATTCAATGGGATAGGATGTTCAATGTTCTAGTGGGATAGGATATGATGGAATGTGATGGGATTAGGTTCTGGTTAAGAAATAATGGTTGGATTGTACCAATGATCATCTACCGGATTAAATTGTTTGTTATAAAATTACTTACCTCATAACAGCTACAACTGTTGATTTTTCACTGTCTGAATAAATTCGGACAGTTAAATGCGTTACTTCTTTGGTTGGAGTAAATGAATGAAAATTACGTGTTCCACAGATTGTTGTAACCAGTTCACGTCTTTCCAGCAAGAATTCCGAATGCTCCTTATATTCTTCTTTTGGGTTGAATTCAAAATGTATATTTTTAACAGCAACACAGTTTGTAGATGAATTAGAAATCCGATTACCAAAGTTGCAAGTTCACGATTTTATTGCAAGAAGTCAAAGCAGCTTTTTTAAATATTCTAAAGAAAATGTAGGACCTGATGAATTTGTTGTCGTCGGCGATTTTGCGGAAAATTATTCCTTCGTTATCCAAGACGAAATCCAAAATTATCATTGGTCCAACAAACAGGCGACAATACACACATTCATTGAATACTATCAGATGGATATTTGTTTAAACCATGAAAACTTTGTAATTATCTCGGATTGTCTCCAACATGACAGCACTGCAGTCCATTTATACCAGAAGAAATTAGTGGAATTTTTGAAGGAAACACATGGCACAACTATCAAGGAAATCAAATATTTTTTTGACGGAGCATCATCACAGTACAAAAATAAATATAATTTATTAATTCTCAATTTCCATTTTGAAGACTTTGGAATCAACGCCGAATGGCATTACTTTGCAACATCGCATGGCAAAAATGCATGCGATGGTATTGGTGGTTCTTTAAAACGCCTTGCTGCTCGAGCTAGTTTACAAAGACCGTTGGAAGACCAGATAACGACACCACAAAAATTATTTGATTGGGCAACTGCCAATATTAAAAATATACATTTGCAATTCAGCTCAACAGAAGAATATAAGAAACATTCGGAATTCTTGCCGGAAAGGCGTGGACTGGCTACAACAATCTGTGGAACACGCAATTTTCACTTATTTACACCAACTAAAGAAGTAACGCATTTAACTGTCCGAATTTATTCAGACAGTGAAAAATCAACAGTTGTAGCTGTTATGAGGTAAGTAATTTTATAACAAACAATTTAATCCGGTAGATGATCATTGGTACAATCCAACCATTATTTCTTAACCAGAACCTAATCCCATCACATTCCATCATATCCTATCCCACTAGAACATTGAACATCCTATCCCATTGAATATTGACAACTTAAATGTGTATAATGCTAAGTGTCATTGACAAAGAGTGAGTGTCCAATAACTGTTACATTTTCCTGCAGTCCAACACCCTATCTATAACAATAGCAGGTATAGCCGCTTGGCGGTTGCAGACACTGCACGACTTGGCCGGTCGAGCCAGCATGCCACGACGCGACGCAGCGTTCCATTCAATTAATTTTTATAAGGCCAATTTTAAAGTGTCCGTATTTTTAAAACTTGGTCCGTGAAGGGTACAAACAGGACTATATGCCCATTTTTTTCAGATTTTTAAATATGTCGCCGCTATAAAAAAATGACATTTGTTGTAAACAATTGCAAAATAAATAGTCAAAAAAATTTTTTTATTAATTGAAATAAGTTTTATTTGATACTCCCATGGGTCTGCTACAAGTACCTAAAATTTCATTTTTATAACTTCTTTACTTTAGCAGCTATTATTTATTGAAAAAAAGGGAGCTGTATATTTCAAACAGATGTAAAACCAACAATTTTTAAAATTTTTAAAAATCCTTCGAGATACGTTTATATATCACTAAAGACTACAACATATTCAAAGTAGAACAAAATCCGACATGGTACTCCGAAAAGTGTCCGATTTCGCATGGAATGACCCAAAAGTAACGCAGTTATGACTGTTTAAAGGGCGTGATGTTCAACGTTATTGTTAACCACTTGGATTAAAATATTAAGTGCACATTCATTGATAGTTGTAGCTCGCACTACAATCAACCCAAAATTATTATTTTTTATCTTTCGTTAGGTCTTCGAAATTTAAAAAAAAACATTAAAAAATCGATAATCAAATTTCAATGTGTTGTAAATTTTTTAATTATCGACTTTTTCCTTTAGTTTTGCTACCGATTAATGCTAAACTCATACTAATTAAGAATCTTTTACGTTTTTTCTTTTTAAAGAAACAGAATAGTCGATATCATGTACACCGTGAGACGACCATTTTTAAAAGCGACTATGTTTGAAAGTCTGTAGTACCACCAATTTCAATTTTTTTTCACCCAAAAAATTATAAAATGCTACTGAACTATGTATAAATAAACTTTGTAAATTTTACCGCACAAGGTGTTATAGTTTATTTGCAAAAAATTCCCCAAGGAAGTTTAAAAAACGCACTTTATACTAGAATATCTCCTTTAACTACGAGTTTACTTGAGAATTTCTCTGTTCGGTACAGTGATGCCAGAAAAGCACCGCCGGGTGCACACGCATACATGCCAGATACGCGTACGTGAGCTCGTGGAGTTTCGGAAAGTCGACAAAGGCAAACTGACGCATGCCCTCTTTCTCGATTCTCCGAAGCTGCCCGAAGTAATTTCGGATCGCCTCGTGGGAGTCGAGAGAGCAAGGCTCACATTTGCCTTCTCGCTCTAAACAACTGAAATCCGACCTCCCGTCAACGGCATACGATTTGGATTCTCGAGCCGAGATTCTCGACTGCCCAGGCATTTTTACTTTCCGACCTATGTAGGCGCACATAAGCAAAGTACCCATAATGAAAAAAAAATTTTGTAAAATTTATTTTACGAAAATACACGTTTTAAGACCTCCTGATCATATTTTAATTATTGAAAAAAAAGAAATTTTTTATTATTCCCATGTATGAGCACACATATGTATATTATTAATACGATTGAATATAAATAGCTGAATGAATTTAAATGAAATTTTACATTTAAGTTTTATGTTCTCATTTCAAAGGCGTGTGGACGGATTCAAATACGTGAACACTAAACGTAACGATGTAATTATATTATTTAATATTTACTAACTATTTAACATAAAGAACATAAAAGAAAGACATAAAACGTAAACGTAAAAGATCATGAACGTAAAACTGTGATTGCTCTCGACTAACGTTCGATACAGAGTGACGTTCCTGCAGTCAAAGTCGACCCTTCCTTATTCCTATCTTATAATAATGATCTAAACAAAACGCACGTTCGAGACGCAGTCTCTAAAACGTATTTCAGCTTAAACCTAAACACCTCACTCGATACCTACTCTAACTTAGACTAAACACTCCTATCGACGCAAACGATAACGGTTCTCCTAGCCACACACATACACTCCTTACAGATTATACCTCTTGCTTCATAGTTGTTCCGATATATAGGCATAATGTATAAAAAATCTTTTAAATGTTTCATATAAATCTTAGGACGAATTAAATTTTATATAAAAAAAATTATATAAACTTTTTCTCTATCTTCTCTAGAAAAGAAAACATTAAATGAAATCTTATACATTACATGCTTACTTAAATCGCATTGAAAACGAATACCACAAATGTTTTAGAATAATATGCAAAATGTGATTGCGATTTTCGCTAAGACAAATTGAAAACTCGGTTCTAACAAGGAAAAGTTGGAATGGTACCCGATTTTGGGTTAGGTTTTACTTTGAGATATTATTAAAGTTATTACAGGTACTTATTTTCAGAAATAGAACTATGTTCACCACTAATCAGCGTGGCGTGAGTGATGAGGTCTTTGCCTGCAAGTTCCGAACTTCTTCTGCTCTGCTGGTTCGAACCCTGCTCGAACTTTTTTTTTTTATTTTTTCAATCATACTTTAAGCGTACACTAAATATGACATTATATTTTTGTCTGACCTTCGAATATTTTTTTTTAAAGTTAAATTTAACCGATTACATTTAACATATGTTATTTTCAATGTACGAAGTACATGAATCTGGATGGTACTTTTCACAAAAACAGTCAAAACATAAAAATTTCAAGCACCACGTACATTTACTGAAAATTTTGTTTTCACAGAAATTACAAAATTTTGTATTTAACTCTGATGGAAAGGCCGCTTCATTTACATTGATAAAATGTGAACGATTTTCGGATAGTCGTACCTTGTAGCTCGTACTTTTTACCTTATACTTCAGGTAAAAAGGGATATAGCTGGGAAAAACAGTTTTATGACATTACCTGCTAACTTATGTTACTGTTCTACAATGAAACGCTATGTTTTGTACCTTTAAAAATATTCGACTATGTCCTTTTAAAATTTAAGATACAACCCATACTTTGTATTAAACTGGCAAACGGGATCACTTTTCCTTTGTTTCTAGTTAGTTCTATTTAGTTCGTCATAACCAATTGATACGGTTATTTCAAAACAATCGAGGAAAATCATTATTAATTAATTTCTGCAATTATTAATTCTACTGTTTTGTTTATGTTATAAAAGTAAGAACTCTTCTTATTGAAAAATACCACAGCGTGCACAATACTGGTAAAGAGTGGAATCTCATTTTAATTTATTAATTTTCAATCTTAAAGTATTTTGATTTTCAAAAATCGTATTAATAATATACATATGTGTGCTCATACACGGGAATAAAAAAAATTTCTTTTTTTTCAATAATTAAAATATGATCAGGAGGTCTTAAAACGTGTATTTCCGTAAAATAAATTTTACAAAATTTTTTTTTCATTATGGGTACTTTGCTTATGTGCGCCTACATAGATCGGAAAGTAAAAATGCCTGGGCAGTCGAGAATCTCGGCTCGAGAATCCAAATCGTATGCCGTTGACGGGAGGTCGGATTTCAGTTGTTTAGAGCGAGAAGGCAAATGTGAGCCTTTCTCTCTCGACTCCCACGAGGCGATCCGAAATTACTTCGGGCAGCTTCGGAGAATCGAGAAAGAGGGCATGCGTCAGTTTGCCTTTGTCGACTTTCCGAAACTCCACGAGCTCACGTACGCGTATCTGGCATGTATGCGTGTGCACCCGGCGGTGCTTTTCTGGCATCTCTGGTTCGGTACAACTATGAAAAATAAGAGCTCCTTTTCTAGTAAAAAAAAAAGTCCTATAAACATTGTGTCGGTGATGCACAAACAATAAAATAAATGGTATTAAAGATATTGCGAAAGGTATCGATGTTCAACGTAGTTTTAGCTGATAGATTAAAGAAAAACGTACAGTAAGGAGCATAACTGAATCAATAATTTATAATCAGAAGTTTTGTATAAATCATTAATTATTGCTAAGAATGTAGGAGAATATTAAAAAACAAACATTATAGTTATCTTTATCACAGTTACAGATAACATAATAAACAAAAAAAAAATAGATTAGCTCGGTTTTGCACCAATAATAACCAGATAAACGTCATCAACTAACTCTTGACAATATTGAAAAAATACTCCTAATATATTGTAATTTAAATTATAATTGATTATTATTGTATGTAAGTAATAAAATTGTTTGAACATATTTTAAATATATTTTGCATATTCCTGTATATTTTGGCATATTATTGATACGTATCTGACATATTTTTACATATTTTATTGACATAAACATCCGTAGTCTAATAATAGAATTATGACACGTTAGTGTATACAATAGAGTTGATTATATAAAAACATAAAAATATTAAACTTCAAACGTTTCATTGATATATCAATCTTTAACATTTGTATTATTTTATTAACACTGAGATTTTTAATCTTTGCTTTCCTATCGTATATTTTACTTAGCATTCTACAGAGTCCATTATGTGATTTGGGTTAATAAAATTTGTAATACGTAAGTGTTATAAAATTTAAAAAAGAAAATACTTCGTGGCAAACATTTGTTAGATAGAGAAAACGCTATTACTGAAGCTTTACATATGAAAGGTAGAGGATATACGGTTGTCCACAAAAGCGTTCATACACAAGAATGAAATTTGTTCAATTTAATTTTATTACTATTTGTATAATGTTTGTTCTAAGAGTGTTCACACCTGATTAAAGTACATTTCTTAATCTTCAAAACTGCGTAGAAGTAAATAAAAACGAATCTTTTTTCATTAAGTAAGTGAAGCATATTTATTGTATTGCGTGATACAAATATCGGGCCACAAAAGTCTTTGTACAGTCGCGGGATGAAATGCGTAGATTGCTCTACTATTGAAACAAATGACACAATGAAATATCTGAATAGTAAGAATCAGCCGTAGTACGAGAAGTACCCGACCTAACAAAAAAAAACACAAGAAATTTGGGAACAAATATCTTTATTTTTCAGCATAATCTCCTTTTAGCAGGGTACATTTTTCCCAGTGGTGTTCAATAACTTTGATACCTTGTTTATAGTGAGAACCATCGAGTTCCTCAAAATAGCCATTAACCGCAGACTCCACTTCTTCATTATTGGAAAATCTTTTACCACCGAGCCATTTTTTCAAGTTTGGAAAGAGAAAATAATTCGAGGAGGCTAAATTTGGCGAATAAGGCGCGTTAGGGAGCAATTCGAACTTTAACTTCTGGATTTTGGCCATCGCGATAACGGATGTGTGAACTGGTGCATTGTCTTGGTGAAACAACACTTTCTTTTTTGCCAAATGCAGCCGTTTTCCCTTGATTTTGTCATTCAAATGCTGCAATAAATTCGTATAATACTCGTCGTTGATTGTTTTTCCTTTTTCAAGATAACCAATGAAAATTATTCCACGTGCATCCCAAAAAACTGACGCCATGACCTTTGCCAGCAGATGGAACTAGTCTTCGCCTTCTTTGGAGCTGGTTTTCCCCTTACAGTCCATTGTTTCGACTGTTCCTTCGACTCAAGTGTGAAGTGATGCACCCAGGTTTCATCCATGGTTATGAATCGACGCAAAAACTCGGCTTTATTCCTGGAAACATCGTCAAACACTAGATTGAAACATCCTCACGACGCTGTTTTTGTTCCATTGTGAGCAAGCACGGCACCCATCTTGCGCACAGCTTTCTCATATCCAAATTTTCAGTCGATATGCGTTGTACAGCAGTTTTTGAAATGCCTACCATATCTGCAAGCTCGCGCACTTTCAGTCGACGATCGTCCAATACCATTTTGTGAATTTTCTTCACCATTTCCGGCGTGGTCAGTTCATTAGTCGACCACTGCGGTGTTCGCCTTGGCAGCTCGTACGGCCTCGTTTAAATTCTGCCATCCAATATTTTATTATTGTAAATGAAGGAGCAGACTCCTCTAGAGTAGAATCTAGCTAAATTTTGATATTGGTTGGACTGAGTCCTTTCAAATGAAAATAGTGTACCACATAACGATGACCAATTTTTTCCATGTTTACAAATTCACTGAGAGCGTTCACTATTAATAACTGTCAAACAAATACTAAACAATATAGAGTCTTCAAACTTAAAACTTAAGCTTTGTAAGGTTGGTACTTCCAACCACAGTCATTTTTTTTAAACAATAATCGCCATCTATACCTTAGGCCTGGTACTTCGGGGACCACTCTCGTATGTCTTACAAGGAACCATCGCGAACGGTCCGGCTTCGATTTTGATGAAACTTTGTACACTTATAAAGTAGCCAAAAATAATCGACATGTATTTTTTTTTAGCTGCGGTAACTCGAGTTTAAGGGGTGAAACCACCCATTGAAGTTTTGGCTCGAAACGGCTATCTCGAAAACGGAAAGACATACAAAAAAATTGTTAATGGGCGAGGTTGATGGTTTCTTATGTACAATAACATGGTGTTAAAAAATTTAAAAAAATACAATTTGTTTATAACAAAAAAAAATTTATTAACTTAATTTTTCATTTTATTGAAATTTTCATAATGACAAAAAATGACGAGCATTTTATTCCAAATCCATTGGTATGCGATTTTTTAAAATTGCCTCCTACAGTTTTGCAGATTTTGATGATTTACATCTTGCGCGCACATCCATTATGGTAGTAGCCGTTCTAACTTTGATTTTAATGAAGCACTGTAGGCTTGCACTACTTCTAGAGGACAAAATCGGGAAAAATACAAGAATACCAATTTGTTGATGGAGGCTTCGTTAAGAAATCATTAGCGTTTAAAGTTCCGCCCGTACTGAATTTTTTTCTCCGAAATGCCCAAGATTTCGGAGGAATGTGTAATGACCAAAAATGATTGTAATCGACCCCTGCAACCGAAAATAATTTTTTCAGAATGGTTTGAAATTTTTTAATTTTGTTGAAAAATTTCACACATTCCTGAATTTTTTTCTCAAAAGTGCGTAGGATTTCGGGGGTATATATATTGATCAAAAATGATTGAAATTGACTCCCGCAACTGAAAATAATTTTTTTAGAACGATTTGAAATTTTTTTTTTTTCGCTGAAAAATTTAGGCACCTACGCCCTGTCGATTTTTCTTAAAAATTCGTTTTTCATTTTTAATAATTTTGTTTGACGCCCTACAAAAAAGTTAGCCAATACTTTTTTGGAGGTACCTATGAGCTCTACGTCAGAAAAAAGTTTCATTGAAATATATTCACTATTGTAGGAATTATGGCTGTTTGAAGATTGGACCATTTTTATGGGGATTTTCTCATTTTGCGGGGTCAAGGATCAACTTTTTGCATATTTTTGCGATTTCTACGTATTCTTGATTAAAATACGCGTCGCTTGCATTTTTGAAAATTAAAATCCTTCAATCCGTTCGGAAGTTATGACATTTTAAAGATCCGTATGAAATTTTCGGACAACATTTCTTCTGGCCATAAATTACATTTTCGATTAGGAATTTTTTTCTCGAAAGTGCGTAGGATTTCGTGGATATATGTATTGACCAAAAATGATTGTAATTGGCCCCCGCAACCGAAAATAATTTTTTCCTGGGGGATTTAAAATTTTTTAATTTAATTTTTTAATAACTTTTTAACGAAGGCTCAATCAACAAATTGATATTCTTGATTTTCATCTTATTTTGGCCTCTAGAATCTCCCATTAAAATTTTTCCCAAGGATGGCCGAACTTTTCCAAATCCATTGATATGTAATATTTTAAAATTGCCTCTTACAGTTTTGCAGATTTTGATGATTTACATCTTGCGCGCACATCCATTATGGTAGTAGCCGTTCTAACTTTGATTTTAATGAAGCATTGTAGGCTTGCACTAAATTATACAGTAACAAGTAACAAGTAACAATAACAGTAACAAGTTTCTTAACAGCAATGAAAAGATTTTTTTTTATGCCCACCTATGACATTGTGGCAAACGGGGAGCGATTTATAAATTATAAATACATACAGTGTGTATACCAGGAGATAAAGATACACTTATTATTCTCATGATGTACTTGCTTTAAAATACAAATTGAATAAATAAATATTGTCATTTCTGCGGCTCGCCTATCATGCAGTTTACGCACGTTATCTAAATCTTCACTGTTGTGAAAGCATTCTGTGTAATTTGTATAATAAAAATACGTGTCAAATGAGATTAGTATGTGCATCTGTATCTCTGTTGTTATTAACATTCTTTAAAATCGAGACGGTTTTTGTAATAAACATGATAAAATGAGTATATTGAAATGGAGTTTGTATTACACCTTTTGATAACGTGACATATCGTAAAGTTAATTAAATTGATTGCCCTTGTCATGTGAAAATAATATTTGTTGGTAGATAAGTGGGAGAACTTGGATATATATATATATACATATTGCAATTAGCTCTTTATAAGCGTGTAGAACATTGTTGGTTATCCATACAGCCGAGGTGCCGATTCTGGGCACTTAAACGTTGCACTATTCCAGCCAATCTTTTGTTGCATATATCCAGCTTTTACTGTATTCGGAAAGATGGTAAATATTAATCCTATTAATGTAATAACTTTACTGTCTGCTGCGTTTGTTGAGTGGAACCAGGGACCCACGCCAATTAATAGCGCAGAAGAAAATTTAAGGGATGTATTATTCGCTTTAATTGTAAGAAGTGTCGAAGACACGGCATTTCTGGTTGAACATGAAACGTGTGTTGAAATGGACAGGACGCCTATCGACCAAGAAAATCAGGATGCTGATTTGAACTGGTTGTGGGTAGATGAAGAGGAGGAAAATAGGACACCGAATATTCCAAACATATACGAACAAGACGTTGTATGTCATTCGAATAAGGAATACATCCCATTTGAATATAAAAGGAAAGCTGTGGCGTACTGGAACAGCGGGAAGTCGAAGCGATTAAAATTAGACACCGTATGTTCCAAATTCCGTCACGTGAAATCCGAAAGAATGCTTCGTAAATGGGCTTTACAAGTTGAACAGGGTGGCACAAAAAAGGAAAAGATAAAACGTATTGCAGAGTATACATTTAATAAATTTATGGAAGCTCGGCAGTTAAGAGTAATTGTGCATGAAGTAGATCTACGGCGATGGGCTTTACAAGCGAGGGACATAGAAAATTTACAAACATTTAAAGCCGGATATACTTGGCTATATACTTTTAAAAAGATGTTTAGATTAGTGTCCAGAAAAATTACCAGATTTGTAACCACAAATATGGTAAATCGAGAAGACGATATTCATTTGCAATGCAGCGCATTCGTGAATGAAGTAAAATCATATATAGCCCGAAATGAACCACACAATGTTTACAATTCCGATCAAAGTGGTTTTAATTTGGAATTACATTCAGGGCGCACTTTGGCTGAAGAAGGTATAAAAATCGTAGAAGGAGGTGTTCAATCAGTGTCATCCACCACTCATAGTTACACCATCCAGCCAACCATTTCAGCTGATGGACAATTCCTGTCACCATTATTTATTGTACTGAAAGAGAGTACAGGACATTTCGGGCCGATTGTGGAAAAACATTTATTTCGCCCTGACAATGTATATCTTGTAGCTTCAAAGTCAGGCAAATTAACTACGGACCATTTCAAGACCTGGTTAAGAGAGATTTACTTCGCAAATACTGGGGCCGCAACAGTTCTAATTCTTGATTCCTGGAGTGGTCACTGTAAGAAGACGGTGAACGAAGTTACTCCCGAGGGTAAAAATGTAAAACTTTTTATAATACCAAAAGGTGAAACAAAGTATGTTCAACCACTGGATGTTTACGGTTTCCGCACTTGGAAAAATTTCATCCGCCGATTTTCCGATATAGTTCTCGTTTTAAATCACGACATTAATCTCCACGCTAGGAATAATATAATTAAACTTCAATCTCTGGTCCACAATCAATTTTCATCGTCAAGGTTCCAAAATTTTATTAAATACTCCTGGTATAAATCCGGATATATAGATGAAAAGCCAAATGCATTCCAGAATCCTGTTGACTACATACTGCTATTCTGTTGAAAATGAGCCAACATGTCATATTTGCGGTGACGTGGCAATAATTAAATGCGCATGGTGTAAGAAATCTTTATGTTTCAAACATTTTTTCGACGAGTACCACTATTGTTGGAACTATATAGAATAATTGTTATACACACTGCATATATTTATAATTTATAAATCGCTCCACCTTTGCCACGATGTCATAGGTGGGCAATAAAAATAATTAATCCTTTCGTTGCTGTTAAGAAACTTGTTACTGTTATTATTACTCGCTACTTATTACTGTATAATTTAGTGCATGCCTACAGTGCTTCATTAAAATCAAAGTTAGAACGGCTACTACCATAATAAATGTGCGCGCAAGATGTAAATCATCAAAATCTGCAAAACTGTAAGAGGCAATTTTAAAAAATCGCATACCAATGGATTTGGAATAAAATGCTCGTCATTTTTTGTCATTATGAAAATTTCAATAAAATGAAAAATTAAGTTAATAAATTTTTTTTTGTTATAAACAAATTGTATTTTTTTAAATTTTTGAACACCATGTTATTGTACATAAGAAACCATTAACCTCGCCCATTAACAATTTTTTTGTATCTCTTTCCGTTTTCGAGATAGCCGTTTCGAGCCAAAACTTCAAGGGGTGGTTTCACCCCTTAAACTCGAGTTACCGCAGCTAAAAAAAAATACGTGTCGATTATTTTTGGCTGCTTTATAAGTGTACAAAGTTTCATCAAAATCGAAGCCGGACCGTTCACGATGGTTCCTTGTTAGTAATTTGATAATAAAGAGTGCAATGAGTTCAGTTATAAAATTAGCTTGATAATATGAATTACAATTAGAAACGAAGGGAAACGACCATCGAAGAGCGGGAAATTAACATTTTATTTAATAAATAAAAATCATTAATGGAAATTTCATCGCACGGTGGGGCCAAATGCGAATCTAGCTAATAAAAATTCATAATTTGATAATTTCTTGCTCCTTAATTTTCAGTTTATAGCAGACGTGACCACGGAATCAGGTCATTGTTATGTTGTATCGTGCGCGCTGCATGACGAGAGGGACGAAACGGACTGAATGGATCGAAGTAAGGGACGCGGAACAGACGGAAACCAAAGAGTCAGTCGACACATGCTTAGAAATGAAATTTTATACAGTAAAATAGAATCAACGGTTATTTATTCCATCGTGATTAGAATCCACTAAACATGGTGTCAGAAGTAACAACAGAAGAACAAATAAGGGCAATTATTTACTTTGGCGATTTCTCACCAATTTCGATGACCTCGAAATATATTGTCAAGGTCACTGTTTTGTATATTTTTCCTCTATACATGTTACCGCCGCTCGGCCTTCGTTTCCAAGATATTCGCAAAAATAATTTTATGGGCGTCATTCACCGACTGTCGGTTTAAAGCCACAGTTTCAGACATTTTTTTTTCCTGCAACAAAAAACAAGAATATGGAACTTCTTCCTGTGAGTCCTGCGGCGCAAAAAATAAAACGGTTGACTTTTCGGAACATTCCTAGTAAACGGATCGTTAAATGGAAAACAATTTTCCAGCGAGACTGTTAACGCACCCAGTAACTTCCATGTGTGAGGGATGTTATTTTTAAGGATGCAGTTTGGGAGCTATGCCCCCAAAATGCCTATATCAACACTGTCTGTTTTTATGTGTTGCAGTATTTGGGTTTTTGTATTTTTTCAGATAAAAAAAAATGAGTCATCGATTGTCTTTGAACCGTGAGTCGTTGGGTGTCGGCCGAATATGGTATTATGTATCTAGAGATTGAAGAAATATAAACCATCAATACCGTGTTAAAAAAGGTCACTCGTTATATCTATAGCTTTTCGACCTCCGCGATTAATATCCGCGATCCAGAAAACGTATACCACACACGTACCTACATGACAATTTAAACGCATACGAAATTCCTTGTAATCATAGTCTAACCTAAACTGTCACATCTATGCATAGACGGAATTCAATGTGTTAATATCGAAATCTGGTTTGTACAAAGTTAATATGGTGTAAATATTATGATTAAAGTTTTACGTGACACTATGTTTGCAAGCAGTTACAGATACGGTATTTCACGGACCTGTTCGGCGTTTACAGTCGTGTTTGGATTATTATCTTGGCATCAGTGATTATTGAGTGCCTTATTACAAGTACTTAAAATGAAGTTATATGAATTTTTGAACACATGCAATGATTATAACAAATTAGTCGATTTCTTAATTACACGGAAAGTGCTCCACGATGCTACCAATTGCATTAAGTGTGGGAAAAAAATGAAATTTGACCGAGAAAACTTAATGTTTTCATGTCATTCAACATCTTATATTAAAAACCGAAATAAAAAACGTCTTAAAATACAATACAATTTAAAGATTAGTGCATACAAAAATTCTTGGTTCGAACAATCGCACCTTCCTGTTTAAAATGTCTGCCGTTTTATTGGATACCATCTGATGTTTAGACCGCCGCGACAAGTTTTTCTTGAAAATGAACTTGATCTATCATCAAAAACAGTTGTCGACTGGGCAAGTCTTTGCCGAGAGTTATGCGTTTTATGGATGGAAAAAACCTGAGTCCAAGTCGGAGGTAAAAATGTTGAATAATAGTTGAAATTGACGAGGCAAAAATCGGAAAACGTAAATATAATAAAGAAAGTCTTCTTAGTGGACAGTAGATTTTTGGTGGCTTCGAACGAACGACGAAACCTTTATTTATTAGACCAGTTCCGAATAGATCGTCTGAGACTTTACGTCGGGTAATTAAAAAAAGAATTGAACCAGGTTCAACAATTATGTCAGATCGATGGAAAGCTTATAATTGCCTCAGTGAGGAAGGATATACACATTTAATCGTGAACCACAAGATGAAGTTCATCGATCCACATAGTGGTGCTGTTGCGACGCAGGATGACGATCTGTCCGTGGTTCAACGGATCGTTTGCGTTCGCTATTCCTCGTTCAACTTAATGCACGAAGAGTCGTGATGTGATAAGATTTTAGACTGAGGTTAACACACCTTTTGTAACAATGTTTTAATGTTTACTATAAAACAATATATATACAATCGTAGAGTGTAGTGAGTGGTATTTGCTGTTTCTCGGTGAGTTCTGTCTGAGTTCTGTCTGAGTTCTGTCTGAGTTCTGTCTGAGTTCTGGTCTGATGGATGTGTGTTAGCGTCGTTGTCGAGGAGGTTAAGGTTGGGATTGGCTGCTGATATTTTGGGGAAAGGTGGATTGTAAGAATTAGGATTGGTCGGTTGTGTTGTGAGGGTGGATCTGAAAATGGTCTTGAGGCGGAGCTTGAATGTTTAAATATTTTGGGAAATGTTGTTCGGTTAGGGCTAGCAGGTAATGGGTTTATTGCGGTGATGGGTACGTGATGTGCAGCTGTTGGAAAGGTCAAGTTTTTATGGGGCAATACTGGTCGCGAAGAGTGGTAATTGCCGAGCCTAAAAATGCTCGGCTGCTACGACCTTCTGGAGCTACCTGTGTTGGGGCTCAACATGCCGCCCCCCTTGAACTATTTAGTTCAATAATCAGATATGTGATTGGCGAGATAAAAAACGATGTGTGGTATGTGTTTGTCGTGTGTTTTAAGTGTCTTATTATACTAGTTGCCTTATCTCTAAATTTAATATCATAGTTTCTAAGATTCTAATGTCTCCGGATAATCTATCGGCAATGGCGCGATGCCTTTTATGCTACGCTTATATTCTCCATGAATAGTTTTTACTGTAACTACACGAATGATCCCATCTTCTCCTGGATGGATGGATATGATACGTCCCATGGGCCAATGGAGGGGTGGTGCGTTGTCGTCCTTTAGCATCACCAACATGCCTTCCTTGATGATGCGGGTGGTTGCATGATGCCATTTTTTCCGAACGGTGAGTTCATTGAGGTACTCCTTGTACCATCGTTTCCAAAAGTGTTGTCGGATTTGTTGTACCTGTTGCCAGGACGATAATCGTCCTGCCTTCAAACTAGTAAGGTCGCACACCGGGGTGCTTGTTATTGAGTCACCGATTAGGAAGTGGCCAGGTGTTAAAGGAGTTAAATCATTTGGGTCGGAAGATAGTGGAGTTAAAGGTCTTGAATTTAATATGGCTTCTATTTCGATTAGACAGGTTGATAGTTCCTCAAACGTAAATAAGTTGTTGCCCATGATGCGAAAGAGATGGCGTTTACATGATTTTACTGCAGCTTCCCACAACCCGCCGAAATGAGGAGCCCGAGGAGGAATAAAATGCCAGTTAATGCCATTATTTACTAAATATTTATGTACATTATTATTCGTGTCGACGGTCAAGGTTTTGTGAATTGCCTTTAATTCACGATCCGCTCCGGTGAATGTAGTTGCGTTGTCGCTATATATATCTGTACATTTTCCCCGTCGTGCAAAGAATCTTTTTAAGGCTGCAAGAAAAGCTTCCGATGTTAGGTCGCTTACGAGCTCTATATGAACTGCCTTTGTGCTAAAGCAAACGAAAATTGCCACGTACGTTTTAATTTTTTTCGTATTCCGGTGTTTCTTTTCTTTGATGTATAGTGGCCCGCAATAATCGACACCAGCCACTAAGAATGGTCGAATAAACTTGACTCTGTTACCTGGAAGTTGTCCCATAGGGTAACGTGGAATTGCAGGTTTCATTCTGTGACACGTTACGCATTTCTTAATGATCGATTTTACTATGACCCTCCCGTTAATCGGCCAAAACGCTTGTCTTACCGCGTTGAGCGTGCTTTGCATTCCGCTATGCCCATGTTTAATATGTACTTCGCGTATAATTAAATTTGTGATGTGATGATAGTGTGGTAAAATTGCTGGATGCTTTGATTCGTGTGGGATTGTTGAATGTTTTAATCTCCCACCGACTCTAATGATTCCATTGGCATCAATAAATGGATCAAGCGCTGCTAATTTGTTTTTCTGAGTGTGAGTTAATGATTTCAGTATTTCCTGCCTCTCGTGGGGGAATGCAATCTTCTGAACAAGTGCAATTATTTTTACCGTAGCTTGTGTCAATTCGTTAGTGGTGAGATGACCCGTGTGTTTCTTCTGTTGTCGTGTGTTGTTTATAAATCGTAAACAATATGCCATAACGCGTTTAAGTGTAGTAAATGACGAGTATTTCTCGAGCAACGTTAAATCTGTTTGTGTTGTTATCTTTAGAACTATCACCGTTCGTTTTTCGGGAATTTCTATTGGCTGTATCTCAAGATACGGCCATGTGTCCTCTGACTGAGATAACCATTGTGGTCCGCGATACCAAGTGGGGTGGTTTATTATGTCAGTTGGATTTAATCCACGTGACAATACGTCTGCTGCATTGCATTCTGATGGTACGTGGCGCCATTGGTTGTACCTACTATCCTTTTGAATTTCGCTTACGCGGTTGGCAACGAAAGGTTTAAGTGTGTGTGGTGCGGTCTTGATCCAATGAAGGACTATAGTTGAGTCTGACCAAAATGTAATGGTTTGGAACTTGATTTTTAGTGTTTTTACCACTACATTGTATAATTTAGTTAACAACGCCGCAGCACACAATTCTAATCTTGGCAATGATTGAGTTTTTAAAGGAGCTACACGCGATTTTGAACATAACAACTGAGAGGTATAATGATGTGATGCGTCTGTGCTTCTAATATATATACAGGCTCCGTAAGCTCGCTCACTTGCATCACAGAAGCCGTGTAATTGCACGTTTTTGGCATTGTCTGCAATAACGCGTCGAGGGATTTGAATTTGGCGTATATTTTGTAACTGCGAATGGAAGGTCGTCCACGCGGTGCGAATGCCGATCGGTACGTCTTCGTCCCATTCTACCTGACATTTCCATAGGTCCTGCATAATTAACTTTGCCTGCACAATTATTGGACCCAGTAAACCGAGCGGGTCAAATAACTGTGCGACCCTCGCGAGAATCGTGCGTTTTGTAATTTTTTGCTTTGCTGGGGCCTGCTTTAACGAGTATCCTAACGTATCCTTATTGGCATTCCAATATAAACCTAAGGTTTTCTTTTCTTCTACCGCGTCTAGAGCTATGTGATCGGTGTTATTTAGTTTCCTTAACGACTCGATTAGTTTAGGCTCGTTGGAGACCCATTGTCGTAGTTCGAAGCCTCCTTTCGCGGATAATTTGATGAGTTCGTCCCGAAGTATTATAGCTTGTTCTATTGTTTCCGCGCCAGTTAACACGTCGTCAACATAAAAGTCGTTAAGGAAACTGCGTGCCGCTACAGGAAATCTGTGACCCTCGTCATGCGCTAGTTGTTGTAACGTTCGAATTGCTAGATACGGTGCAGACGCAGTACCGTACGTGACTGTATTAAGTTGATAGACTTTAATTGGTTCGTTTATGCTTTCGCGCCACAATATTTTGTGATATTTCCGGTCGTTCATGTTCAATTCTACTTGACGATACATCTTAGTGATATCCGCGGTCAACACATACTTATGAAGTCTAAATCGCATGATGATAGCGAACAGATCATCCTGTATTGTCGGACCGACCATGAGAATGTCGTTCAATGAGGTGCCTGACGATGAACGCGCTGACGCATCAAATACGACTCGTATCTTAGTCGTGATACTGTCCGTTTTGACGACTGGATGGTGAGGAAGGTAACAACCGACAGTGCGCTCGTCTTGAATTTCAGTCATATGTCCGAGATTTTCGTACTCGTTTAGAAAGTCGCGGTATTGTGCTTTTCGATCCGCGTGTTTATCTAAGGACCGTTCTAGCGCTAAAAATCGGGTATATGCTACGTTGTACGTGTCGCCTAATCTGAGCTCTGTATGTTTGAGGGGAAGTGAGACAATGTATCGTCCAGATGGACCTCGAGTGGTGTGTTTTGTGTAGTGATTTCGCAAGCTTGTTCTTCTGACGAAAGAATTTTTGAGGCAGGGCACTCTTCCAGATTCCAAAACCGTTGCATGTCATCATGTAATGATTTCAGCGTTAGATTGCAAACTACCTTGTGCGATTGAGTGTTATTTTTAATTTCCCCCGTTACGATCCACCCTAACCCGGTTTCACGTAATGTGATTAATTGGCCATCTACTGAGATTTTATTCCCGTATAGGAGATCCCAAAATACTTGGGCCCCTAAGAGTCCATCTATTTCCTGGGTTTGGTTGAAATATGGATCTGCTAGTTGGATACCGGTTGGAATATTAAATTTAGTGTTTTCTATGGATTCAGATGGGATTGGATGTGATATACGTTTCGCGATTAAAAATGTAAGCGTCGTGGAATACCTGTTATACCGTGATTTGATGTGTGCGGTAGTCAGTTTATTAATTTTGGAATCCATTTGATTGGTACCGGAAAGGGGAATCGAGACTGTTTGCGTTTTTAACCCTAACTGCTTGCAAAATCGTTCGCTCAGAAGATGAGCTTGGGAACAGGAGTCTAATAGTACTCGGCAAGAATGCGATTTCCCGGTGTTGTCAAGTACGTGGATAATTGCTGTGGATAGCATGATGTTTGGTATAGTATCGATCGAAAGACAATTTAAATTAGTTTGAATTGGCTGTGAAGAGTTGCCTGCCTCTGTATGGAGTAATGTGTGGTGTCGTTTATGGCATCGCTTGCAAGTAGACGCTTGGCACTCGCTCGTGCCATGGTTTCGCCGTAAACAATTGAAACATAATTTTTTCTCGTTTACGAGCCTAGCTCTTTCTAGTACGGACAGCGAAGTGAACTTCTCACAATTTTGCGAGAAATGAGGTCCCGTGCAAAAATTGCAAAGCATACGAGACTGAGTAACAAATGCTTGTGTTGTATTTGAACGCAGTTCGCGCATGGGCATTCTATTATTAATTGGTGAATAATTTCGAAAGCGATTGTTACTTTGTGGAGCTATGTTTTTAAAATGATTATTACAATTCGAGCCTGCGGGTTCGATTATCTTACACCGGTCGTGTAGGAATTTAAATAATTCTTCTACAGTTGGGAAATCTGTGTGTTGCGTATGTTCCTTCCATTTTAACGTGGTTTCGCGATCTGTCTTTGTTGTGAATAAATGTAAAAGTAGAGTATCTGTGGTTGGTTGATTTAGCGCTTGTAAGGCGCGATAGTGCATTTCAATATTATTCAAGAATGATCGGAGATCTTGGTGTGTTTGGCGATTAATTTGTGGCATCTCAAACAATATCCTTAAGTGGTTGGCTACGATTATTGCAGGCTGATTATACCGTCGTTCTAAAATTTCCCAAGCAACCGTATAATTGATTGCTGAGTTACCGAGTGATTCGATTGCTTTAGCAGCTTCATATTTTAGACACGACCGAAGGTACATTAGCTTTTTGCAATTGTCTATGCGTACGTTGTCATGCACCGTCGAGCGAAATTGGTCAGCAAACCCGGGCCAATCTTCGTACGCGCCCGAAAATGTTGGCAGATTGATTTTAGGCAATGTAATTTCACTTTCGGTTGATTCTACCTGCGAGTGGGGCGTATGTTGCGCGTCTCGCGAATTATTCCCTGACCGTGACGTCGTTGCTGCTTCGATTATATCTAAGGCTTGTGCTTTACATTGCATAAATGCTGATTTTATACTGATGCGTTCACGCATTAGCTGACCCTCCTCTAAACTATCTAATTCGGTTTGCGATTTGTTGAAAGCTGCGAATTCCGACTCTAACTCCTCTAACTGAACACGGATAGTCGTTGCTGAGGTTCCTTCAACGAAGTTGGCAATCAATACTTTAAAAGTTTCGAGTTCTATCTTGAACGCCTCGCGTCTCAATTTCAAATTTTTAATTCGTTCTTCATGACTAGGAGCCATTTTATGTGAATTTGATTGGATTCGGAATAGGATTAAAGAATATGTTCTACCGATGACTCAAAAAACAAGGGTGTGGACTTACGTTTCGATGCGACGCGACGTCTGCAACCTGGCGTTTGATGAGCTCGCTCAAGATGCTGCTAGTTGCTGGATGTCACTCTGTCTGAGTGACCGACTCCGTTAGTGTGGCTGACCGTGCTGGACCCAAAATGCGCTGGTGTCTTCTCCCGAAGGTGACACTCCTGATGCCACAGACTTCGGCGTCGATGACTGGATGCGCTGGACGACGGCTCGTGCTTTTCTCTCCAAAGGTGACACTCCTGATGCCACTGACTTTGGTGCTGTTGCTTCTCGTGATGAGTTCTCCGGACTGACTTTGGTGCTGTTGTTCTTCCAAAGCACTGAATCCGGCTCGAAGGACCAATTTTATGTTGCGACGCAGGATGACGATCTGTCCGTGGTTCAACGGATCGTTTGCGTTCGCTATTCCTCGTTCAACTTAATGCACGAAGAGTCGTGATGTGATAAGATTTTAGACTGAGGTTAACACACCTTTTGTAACAATGTTTTAATGTTTACTATAAAACAATATATATACAATCGTAGAGTGTAGTGAGTGGTATTTGCTGTTTCTCGGTGAGTTCTGTCTGAGTTCTGTCCGAGTTCTGATCTGATGGATGTGTGTTAGCGTCGTTGTCGAGGAGGTTAAGGTTGGGATTGGCTGCTGATATTTTGGGGAAAGGTGGATTGTAAGAATTAGGATTGGTCGGTTGTGTTGTGAGGGTGGATCTGAAAATGGTCTTGAGGCGGAGCTTGAATGTTTAAATATTTTGGGAAATGTTGTTCGGTTAGGGCTAGCAGGTAATGGGTTTATTGCGGTGATGGGTACGTGATGTGCAGCTGTTGGAAAGGTCAAGTTTTTATGGGGCAATACTGGTCGCGAAGAGTGGTAATTGCCGAGCCTAAAAATGCTCGGCTGCTACGACCTTCTGGAGCTACCTGTGTTGGGGCTCAACAAGTAGTATAATCGATGCTAAAGAATTACGCGTTTATTTTGAATATCTTTCAGTCAACAATACTGCACATATTAAAGATAAAGTAGGTGATTTTATGCTTTCCGAAGAACAATTAAAAGTATTTACGGGTTTAACGTGGGAAAATCTATTACAACTTCGCGAAATGATGACCTCCTTAAGAAATTCTGAGCAGCGAACTATTACGCAAGCCATTGTTGTTTTTTTACTGAAATTACGTACCGGAAATTCAAATAAAATGATAGCTGCAATTCTTGGAATAGAACGCGAACAACAAATATCGGATTTTTGTACATCTGTTTTAAATTCATTCGAAAAGGATATACTACCATTTCATTTCGGATTCGCGGCCATTTCTCGAAATAATTTGATTCAAAATGAAACATCATTCATTGCTAAACAATTATATAATTTAATAGACCAATTGGCACTGATTTTTGATGGAACATATATTCGACATGAGAAAAGTTCAAATAATGAGTACCAGCGAAAATCATATTCCGGTCAAAAAAAGGTACCATTGTGCAAACCTTTTACAATTTGCACAACAAATGGTTATATAGTTGATATACTTGGCCCCTTTTACGCTAACCAAAATGACGCGGAGATTCTAAAGATTGTTTTGAAGAATCCAACTGGTTTATCAAGTCTTTTAAAATCAGGGGATATTTGTATTGTTGATAGAGGTTTTCGTGATGTGAAATTAGATTTAGAAAATCGCGGTTATACAGTTTTGATGCCGGCTTTGAAGGGAAAGCGTAACCAGCTCACCACAACAGAATCAAATCAATCGCGTCGTGTTACAAAAGTTCGCTGGGTAGTCGAAGCGATACACGGAATTCTAGGACAAAAATATAAATTGTTACATCACCAGTTGAGCAATAAGTTACTCCCCAAAGTCGGTATATTTTGCAAAATAGCAGGTTATCTCCATAATACGTTTGGAAAACGTTTGAATTCAGATGTAGGGCTTTCTAATGAAATAGTAGCGAAAATAATATCAGAAGACAGTATCGAAAATACATTAGCAGTGGAAGTAGAAAATAATCATTGGAATAGGCGAAAATCTCTTTTCAACCTTTCAGCTTCCGACATTCTTGATTTTCCGGAATTAACAGAACAAGATTTAAAAATTCTATTTACGGGAACATACCAATTATCACAAGCCATATCGTACTTAGCAGAAATTATGGATGAAGATAATAATATAATTGTTCGTTGCCTTAAGCAGACAAAAAATATTATTAAATGTGAAGTGAGATCGCGTCACATCAATAGTAAAACATATA